AACTCTATTTTGATGTAAAAGATTGACCTTGACCTTATAAATAGGTCAAGGTCAAAAATGGTGGTGGCATGCACTCCTTCTCAATGTCATCTATCTATGTTTCAAGTTTGAAGTCTTAATGTCAAAGGGTATTAAAGTTACGGCCTGGACAAAATTTGGATGAAGAAGAATAAGAAAATCGACAAAAACAATATGTCTCCCCTGGAAGGGGAGACATAATGAATGTTTGGTTTAAATGAGCAGAGCATTCTCAAAGTCAGATTCTTGCCTGGAGATTGACATACAGATTATTTATATATTTAGCAAAAGTTGTAATTGTACATACATGTAGTATGTTTACACTGTGGTGTTCTCTTTGACAGTAGATGAGTTATTGTCACTGGTAGAGTCATGGTTGACAAGAGACTGGACGAAGTTGTTTTATACTTTATCAAATTGAATAAAAAATCACAGAGAGGCAGGGTGACTTATTGTAATTTGTGGCAAATAGCCATGTTGTATATCCAAGTTTGTGTGTACTGAATTGTAGCACTAGGCAAGTGACAAAAACATATCTGTATATATTGAATACCATACACAAAAGGCAAGTGTCCATTGTATTTGTACATTTGCATTCATTATAATCCCTGTAAGACTTGGGAAAACCAAGTATGATCCTAAGGAGATCACTCGGGTCTAAATGTTACAATAAGCAATGTTATTTTAACCAGATTTTTGAAATTCTTGGGCAACATTGCTTCATCTATAAGTTAATTCTGTTTTATACCTCTATGGATCCTTTACAGTGTTGTATTATACTCAGGTGACCGTGAAGGCCCTTGGGCATCTTGTTATATACGACCTTTTCTCTGATAATGCACGGATTTGTTGAATCATTGATTGAATTTACCTCTTAGTTAGTTGTTTATGCAACATTTTGGTGTATAATCGCAAAAATATCATAAACAACCCCCACCTCTTTCGTCTTTTACATGTATTACATTTTCAACAGTGAAATACCGTGATTTATTTATTGAATAATTAAAAGTGATATTCTCTCACCGTGTGAAAGGATACCTAAGTGATATTCTCTCACAGTGTGAAAGGATATCAAAGTAAGTAAAAAATAATTTTTAGTCTGTCATAGGATAGAGATAGTAACTAAACCGTCTTGATCGAAACTAAAACTGCAAATTTCTTCCCAAATACGTTGCTTAAATCCATGTTACAATGTTTTCAGTCTCACAATTGCTAAGCTATGACGTCTAAACCACTCAACTATGACGTCACAGTTAAATGACACTGTGTTAGGAAAAGAAAGAGGCAAAGGGGAAATCAAAGAAAATGTAATAAACAGAAAATTCCATGATTTGAAGTTGAATATGGAATTTATTTCACTTGTGAGAGAGTCTTCTTTATATATATATATATATATATATATATATATATATATATATATATATATATATATATACATTTTTTTTTTTTTTCACGAGTGCTTAGCAAAAAAATCCTGTCCCACTCGTGGAACAAATTCCATATCCAACTAAAAAAATTGTTTGTTTGTTTGTTTGTATGTTGTTTAACGTCCCTCTCGAGAATTTTTCACTCATATGGAGACGCCACCACTTGCCGGTGGAGAGCTGCAAATTTTGTCCTATACTTGGCACTTACGGCCATTGAGCAGTGAGGGATCTTTTTCGTGCCAACACCTACTGCGACACGGGACCTCGGTTTATACGGTCTCATCCGAAGGACCGGTCTCCACGTTCCACAGTGGGATTCGAACCCGCGACGTAAGGATCAACTCCTTACTTCGCGACTCTAGAGCAGACGCACTAACCACTGCGCCGCGCGGGCGACACTAAAAAAAAATGAATATCCTGTATTTATTTGTTGTTTCGAGCCATTCAACTCTAAGGATTCAATTGCGACCTTTGCGACAATAAATGTTCACTGAGTCCCCGTAAAAAATCTCTACAGAGGAAATATACAAAATCGTACAGGCGCGGATTCACTTATTTTTTAAGGGGGGGGGGGGGTCCACCGCAGTCAAAAAAAAATTTCTTACCCAAAAATTTCTTGACAACCAAAAAAAAAATTAAATTCCCTTCCGAAACGTTTTAAATCCCGAAAATAACCTGACAAGCAAAAAAAAAAAAAAAAAAAAAAAAAAAAAAAAAAAAGAAAGAAAGAAAAAAAGTAACTTCCATTTCCTAAACGTGAAAAACACCTTTTTCGTGGTGGTGATGGTGGGGTCCACGTTTTCAAGGGGGGGGGGGTCCAAAGTCATCTCTTATTTGCTTCAGTATATACTTTTTATAACTGGAAATTCCAGGGGGGGTCCAGACCACCCCACCCCCTCTAGATCCGCGCATGACATATCCGAACTTTGTAGTCTTAGGCTCGTCTGTCGACATTAAACGTTCTTTTTGAAAATTTTATCGATGTGTAAACTCTTGACATTTTACTCACGAACTATATAACTCGTGATCTGACAGTGACATAAACATAAGATTCCCGTGACGTCTGTCAGTCCTGTATGTCGTCTGTATTGTTTTTATTTAATTTAAAGTTTCTGTAATCGTTTAGCTAAAACAGACTAGAAGTAACGATTTGTTTAATTTTTTTTTTACAATAAAAGCTACATGTAGGCCAAGTTGTGGTTGAGAGATTTATCGGTGTAAACTTTTTCTTGAATTTGTCGTCCAATCAAAACACCATCCTCACAATGTCAAGGTTTTGTGATTTCGGAACTCCACACAAACCCTTGACATAAGTTGCTATGTAAAAGTTGGGTTTGTGGTTACACATGACGTAATGGGTAATTATAAACTAACCTTGCACGTTAATTTCGTGTATTCATGGATTAAACTGTGTACTGTCATAACATTTGCGACCATTTTACCATAAAAAAATTCTATGAGATTTTGTTTGAAACAACTATATACCAATCTCAAGATTTTCTGAGAAATCTCAAATTTTTTTTCTCAGCTGAGTCGGAAAAACGTTGATGGCACGCACGTTTGAGAAAAATCTTAGATTTAAAAAAAACCCTCAGATTTGAGGAAAAACTCAAAAAAACAAGTATGAGTTTGAGAAAATATTTATTTGGTGGCACAGTTTGGTGAGAAAAACTCAAATTTTTAAAGAAATCTCAGATTTGAGAAAATCTCAGCGTTGGTGGTCCCGAAGCCTGGTCTTGACGTCCCACAGTGAGCAGTGAAAGATCTACTCCCTATTTCGCGATTCTATAGCAAATGCTCTAGCGCCGCGGACCTGAAATCTGAAAAAATTTTAACCATTTTATGGGATAAGAGAAAAAATATGAAACTATGGGTCCTGTAGCTGACCCTTGGAGGCTTGAGGTTAGGGGCTAACATCATCCAACAATCCTTAAAATTCTTCTTTACGCCTGGATAACAAGCAGTCAAGATGTTGGTATTATTGCCAATGACCTTGAAATTCATGACAATCAGGGATTCTCTTTGTTTATTTGTTGTTTAACGTCCCTCTCGAGAACTTTTTCACTCGTATGGATACGCCACTACTTGCCGGTGGAGGGCTACAAATTTTGACCTATACTCGGCACTCAGAGCCATTGAGCAGTGAGGGATCTTTTTCGTGCCAGCGCCCACTGCGACACGGGACCTCGGTTTATACGGTCTCATCCGAAGGACCGGTCTCCACGTACCGCAGTGGAATTTGAACCCGCGACTTAAGGATCAACTCCTTATTTCGCGACTCTAGAGCAGACGCTCTAACCACTGCGCCACGCGGGCCACCTCGGGGATTCTGATGTTAGTGGTGGATTCCATAGATTGTATATATAGTAAAAATGCATTATTTTTTCAAAACTCGATTCTCCCCTAAATGCAATGATATGATAAGCAAGGGTGTCTCTTCCCAAATTGTGAAATTTGTGGCCGCTGGTCAGGGGTTCTGGTGTTGTTAGGGCAGAGCTGTATTGGATATATATATATATATATATATATATATATATATATATATATATATATATATATATATATGTATGTATGTATATAAAATGAACGTGGATTATTACTTTGAAAGTCTTTTTTTCTGCCCCTGGGTATTTAAAAAACAAATTAAATAGTATTACATGGTTAAGGTGAGCAAGCTTGCTTCTTCCATAATCATGTACGGTCACGGTAGCCTAGTGGTAGGGCTCTCCGGCCCGGGTTCGATTCTCGTTCGCCGCACCGCTTCAAACCTAAGACGTAAACATAGGTATAGTGCAGTTTAGCACATATCATTTCATGGTTGAATTCGACTTTTCCACTCGGCGAGCAGCGTTTTGACGCTGTTTACGGAGACAAAAGAAAATAAAGACAAGCATGCCATATATGGTTGTGTAGATAAATTATCGTAGAAAACATAGGTATAAACAGTTTGTCAGTGTATTTCCTCTGAAAGTGTAAATGAGTGCGATTCTGGGGGAGGGGGGTACTCCGTGTAATTCGGAGTTAGATACCTTGTGTTATTATTATACTATGGGTTAAAAATTTATTACCGAAATAAGTACCTGTAGTATAGTGATTGTTCCTTCGCCAGGCGCCCTGCATTAGAAGTGAAAGTCACAGGTCTTTCGGATGGCACGATAAAGAACCCTTACTAAATGTATATATTAAACTTAAAATATATCATTATAGGAATTTGTGCCAAGTTTCATAAAAATCCTAGACCTAGCTGCCACACTCCCTATATAAAAGTTTAAATGCTTACAGAGAATGGCTATTAATTCTTAAGATTAATCTTTTACATTGAGATAACTGCCCTTTTTCACATCACTATATTACTTGATATTCAACTATTTCTGTCTTTTGTGTTTCGCTTCAAGATGATCCGGTATTTAGTCATACCTTTAAATTGCTGGGATTCCCTGTTCTATTTTAAACCTTTTGTGTCAACCTACGAATAATACCAACAAACAAAACCTGGAGATTAAATATGATCAATATAGCGACGGTATTGGATACATGTATTTCCAAATGCCCTAGAAATGGCGACTGGAACAGACGATACTGTGAAATGTCGTTTAATTTCTTGTGATAAAGGTCCCATAGGAAAGACGGATGGACACGCGGATGTCAGGGCGTATGCTGTTCCAAAAAGCAAAAGATCAGGTTTGGTATCTCAATATCCTTCAATGCATCTTTGACTGCAAGATTATTTCTTAAGAAATCTAAAAACGGGCAATACGTGTATATATATTCAGCTCAAGGAGCTCCGATGTGAAAGTCTTAAACGATCGCACTTGTGACATTTTTATTTGAATTATAATCAAAATCGGAATAAATTTAATTGTTCAAATGAAATATATTTAATTTTTGATTATGTTGTACACCCCAGAGCATTAGGTTTAGGGCTGGGTGGGGGTTATATGCATATAGTATGAGTACAGAATATGTAATTCATTTTCACAGAATTGTTAATCAATACTTATATCTTTAGCCCACCTATACGCAAGCGTTTTTATTTATTCACAGTATTCACTTAGTTTTCGTTTGATGACAATTAATATTGGAACTTTTCATGTCTTCGTTATTTGGGATGGCCTTCAAACACTCTTGCTTTTATCTTTATCTAGTTGAAATGCCCTCCCAGCAATAACGTTTTAAAATTTGATTTTGAAAAAAAACAAACAAACAAAATACAATAAATAATTTCTTTGCATCCTTTTGTTTGAGATTGTACTACTATACCATCGAGTGTCAATTAAACGGTTCGTCATATTTTCATTTATTTATCCATTTTGTATTGTTAATTGCATTTTGGAAAAACATGTGATATTGTATGACACTAAAAATTATCTTGGATAGCGACTTGTAAAAATACTATTAATAATTATTTTTTCCTCAGGTTTAGAAACCAGTCCTTTACTCTAATTATGTATTTAGGACACGTGTTTTTTTTTTCTTTTTTGGAGGGTGGGGCCGGGTGGGGTGGTGTGGTGTTAGGGGTAGAGTGGGGGTTATATGCATATGGTATATTAAGTATCTGTAATTCATTTTCGCAGAATGGTAACGTCTCTGGAATAATTAAATACAAAATCTGTTTCCCATGGCTTTAAAAGTTAGTCCAAGATTATTACATAACGGGCAATGCTTTTTTTTTTTTATTCGAAACTCTATCAAAATCAATAAAGGGATTTTGAAAATAAGAACAAATATAAGTACCTAATTTAAAAAATTTTTTGTGAAACTATTTTGAACTGTTTAAAAATAATTGTTAATTCGTTGAAGCTAAAAAAAAAAGTAAATCCATTATTTTTGACGTTTATAAGACGACCAAATATATAAGATTTACCATCAAATAGCTCTATTCTTAATCAATAGGTTTTCAAGTTAATTGGAATGAAGAAGGATTTGCAACGTTCCACACGGAATGTTGGTTTGCCTTATGGGGGATGTATAAAGACAAATCATCAGTTCTCACGAAGGAGGAAAGAGAAATGGTGAAGGAGGCTGCCAAGACAGTAGAAATCCATGACTCGTGCTCAAAACTTGAACAGGAAGCAGAACACATAGTAAACCTGATAAAAAACGCTGAATATTGTATAGCGTTTACAGGTGAGCAAGGGGCATTTATAATTTATAATAAATTTATGAAAAAAAAAATTAGAATAATATCTAACGTTCAGTTCAGATATTTTATTTGTAAAACGATAAAATAGGCCATGAACATAGCAAGAAAGTACTTGATAGTTTAACATGATTCATATACATGTAATCAGGAGCTGGTATTTCCACCGCGGCCGGCATCGGGGATTTCCGAGGAATTCAGGGCAAATGGACAGAAAGAGACAAAGTCAAAGACCATGGTAAAAAAAATAATATGTATTCTGTAATGCATTTTATTTACTTTATCAAGAAAAGTCTAGTACTGACATTTCACTAATTTATGAAATCTTAATCAAAGTTGAAACTTTTTCCTGTTTTTAGGAAGCAAAGGGAAATCCAAGAGAACAATACAAGACGTTCAAAAGCTCCGCCCAACTTACACACACGAGGCTTTATTCAAACTAATAGAAATGGGAAAATTAAAGCACGTGATCAGTCAAAATGTTGATGGACTACATCGTTTGTCAGGAATTGAAGAAGGTCAGATATCGGAACTGCACGGCAATATGTTTGTCGAAAAATGTGAAAAATGCAAAAAACGGTATGAAAGAAAATACAGATGCACGGGAAAAGCTACCAAAGTGCCCATTAACATTTGCAAGCAATGCCGAATCAATCATCGGACTGGTCGTTCCTGTAATGAAAAGGTACTCCTATTTATTTAAGTATTCAATTTCAACTTTATAAATCTTTTGAGGTAAAATAAAGTACACTATTTTTCTGAATCAATACGCAAGTTTCGAGATTATCTCCCTTGGTGCGCTTTTTACGTTACGGAGGGGAGTTTTGTTTCTGCGTAAACCGGTAGGTGGGACAGTTATTTATATTGGATACGTTACATCATCGATATACCGGTCTGTAATATAACTGCCTGTCGGGATGCTCTCATCAAATCGAAAATAACTAAATTTTAGTAATGGCATCAATTTGTTTTTCTACCAAAAAAAAAGGAAAATAAAAAAGAAAATATCAGTGGATAAGACATCAGACGAGGGAAGAGATATGGATCTCCTATACACGCGCACATTTGATCATTGCACGTCGGCATTCTGAATGACACATCGATTCTTTCCCTTATAATAATTTCAAAAGGTCCATCAATTTTTTTTTAGAAAAGGTTTGTAATCAAGGAAGCGTCTTTTTCACAAAAAGCTATTAGGGTTCTTTTGATTTCAAGTATCCTAATTAAAAGTAGATTTTGTTAAACACGTAAAGTGTAGATCAATATAATCATCAAAATCATCACTGTTTGACATTACGTTTTCATGTATAATATTTTCATAAGAATAAATACATTATAAAGGCCCTAGCCATCGTCCATTTATTTATGCACGTTTGTGTACATCGATAACCTGTCCCACTTCTTGCTGATATGGATACTTTTTGCGCCTCTATCGTTGGAGAGCTACAATCTCGAAACTTGCGTATCGAAACGTTCTCATTCATGTAAAAATAAGAATTAATCAGAACCATCATACGTAGGACTAGGCAGTTATATTATTAGCAATTCTTATGAAACTTCCTCTTCCAGAAGTGTGACGGATACTTGATGAACACAATAATAAACTTTGGGGATTATCTAGAGCCAGAAGTTTTCAGAAGCGCTGTAGAGCAAGCTTCACGCTCTGATCTTGTTTTGGCACTTGGAACGACACTAAAGGTTTTTCCAGCAAACGAGATGGTGAAAATGGGTAAACGCCCAACGCGTTTAATCATATGCAACAGGTGCATTAAACAAATTTTTAATGCCGAAAAAAGTGAATTAAAAGCCCTTTTTTAAAATTCTTATCTCGTTAGATGGAGAGTATTTTTTTTAAAATAAACACGTACATGTATTTCCTTGAAATGTCTAAGATGTATGCAGCTTCCTGTTAAATGTATGATCTAATATCGAAGAAAATTGTCAAGTTGTATAAAAATAATTTTGAATGTTTACAGACAAGCGACTGATTTTGATGAAACTTGCTTGAAGCTGGATGATGATGAAGTTCCATTGGGATCAAGGGTCTTCGGAGACTGTGATAAATTAATGCGAGAAGTAATGCAACGTATTCTTCCAGAAGAGGAATTATCAAAATGGGAGCAAGATAGAAATGTCCGAATGCTTACATACGACACAAAACGAAAATTGTAGCACAGGAAAAAATACTCTAAAATATCCTTTGATGTATATGTATTTCAAATAAACTAAACAACAGATGGAGACATTTTAAAATTGCATCTTGTTAGCCTACTAGGGGTCGTAAAATAAAGGGTGCTAAGGCCAAGTTTAAAATAATGTTTGTTTGCCCTCTCTCGACTTGGGATGAAAAAATTGGGTCGGTAGGTAGGTGAAAAAATTTTTTTTCGCAAAAATTTCAATTTTAATGCCAAATTTTAAAATATATTTTCCAGAATACATAAAAAAAATTAATGCTTCCTGGAGGTTAAAAAAGTCTTGAGTCGGGCCATTTTTAGACAGTCGATCGGGAGAGGGCAACCAAACAATTTTTTAAAGGTAGCCTTATCGTACAACTTGGCAAAGCTAAAGCGGCCGGTAGAGGTGACCTAAGTATATCTTAACTAACTTGTACAGATATTTAGAGGATATTTAGAACTATTAAATGTTGAATCTCGACGTTAGGATGGCCTCAAGTCTAAGGTTGTACTTAGGTCATCTTTAAGCTGTCAGGTATTTTTTAATGAAAATATTTGAAGATAAAGAACAATAATCGATTTCAAAATTCTTAAAATATTTATCAATATTTATTCATTAGTTGGTACTTTGCAGTTGGTTGAATTGCAGAGTTTAATTGTGACAGGTGCTTTATCGTTCTGAAAATAACTTAAAAGTTTGTTCTTTGAACATGTCTAGTTAATTTTCAAAAGCATTTAATGCTTTAATCAAACATCGAATGTGCGGTATAGATCTGATCACCAAATGTATTATAGTATACGGTGTATATTAGTGTGCCTGCACATGTTTCATAAGTATTTATAATTTTAATTGATTCGTGTAACACTAACGAAACCTCAATTTAAAAATGAAAACTGTTCTGAAACAGAATTATTACGGCAATATATATATCATAGCAAAAATTTTCATACAACTTTTGTATTTTCTTCACAGAAGATTTGTACTTTTGACACAGTGTTGCACAAAATTCGGTATGCTGTTTATGAATGATTACCTTACTTTCTTTCTTCTTTAAGGTCACACATTCCCACCTAGTTTGGAATCTTCAATGTTCTTGTGGGACCAATGTCCACAAATTAACATCCCCACGAACAAATATTTTGTCAACATATTCATTCATTGAATCTGTTTATACAAATAGTCAAAAAGCCACAGAGTTAAATACTTTAGCAACCAATATTCTCCAGGACTAATTCAGGTTAATATTAATAATTTATGGAAGTTCCGAAACCAGTTTCACTGTGATGGAAATATGTAGGCAAAATATCATCTTGCCCGTGTTATTCGGTCACGCTATGACCTCTGACCCCCTAACAAGTTCACACAGAATTGAACATATTTTCTCTTTAATAGGTTCAATTAAGAAAAATATTTGCAAATGTAAATATTAGGGGATCAAAGTTTAATATTAGAAAAGAAATATGTACGGAAATAAACTCTTCTTAGAACCTTTGGGCTATCTACACGTACGCGTGAACTTTCTGGAAAAAAATGTAGATTAAAAAATGTAGATTTTAAAATAATGGTCCTTCGAGGAAGGTTAGGCCTAGAAGAAGAGGCCCAAGGACCTTAACGGTCACCTGAGTACAATGCAACAATTTAGAGGATCCATAAACTGATAAATGAAGCTTCGTTGCCCAATTAAAAGCAAGAAAAATAGTATGATTAGGATCAACAAAATAATTGGTCTAGTATCTATCTGTCTCCCATTTATCACTATTACCATGCAGACTAGTAACATAATGTCTATTTTTTAACCCCATAATATTATTTATCAAATTGGCCTCTCTTGGCCTTTGAAGAACATTTAAAAAGATAAGTTATTTTTTTCTCATTTTTATTTATCTATTATTTTCAAGTCTACCTGATCAATAAAACTATGAAAGTACTTTTTGTATTATACAATAAATATTCTTGCATAATTTTCTTATCCTATTAACCTTTCAAATACATTATTTACAGTGATTAATTATCAAAGGTTAATGGCAAAGGGGAATAACTGCTCAGCAGAAAAAAAAATCAATAGAGCCCTGGCCAGGAACACTTGACTAAATGGTCCAGGTGTTCAAATCTATGGTAAAAATACCCTTCCATATTGAAACTTTTACTCTGTTTGCCCAGAAGCATAGAAGATTTCCAAAGAAATGCATTTTCACTATATTAAATAAATAAAGCCCCATCCTTACACCAGAGCATCTGATCCAGGGGCCTGGACTTACAATTCTGGAAGAAGCACCCTTGCTCATCATAACCATACACCTGTTTCTTTGCTTTATACCCAGTGGTAGAAAAAATATTTTGAAAGAAATTATGCATTTTCACTATATAATCAATAGAGCCCCCTCCCCCTTCACCAGAACCCCTGACCCAGGGGCCATGAAATTCACAATTTTGGAAGAGGCACTCATCCTTATCATAACTATGTACTTAGTTAGTTTATTTACTACCCAGCAGCAGAGAAGAAGATTTTCAAAGAATTAATGCATTTTCACTATATAATCAATAGTGCCCCGCCCTAACAACAGAACCCCTGATCCAGGGGCCATGAAATTCACAATTTTGGAAGAGGCATTCTTCCTCATCATAACTATATACTTAGTTTATTTACAAACCAGGAGCAGAGACGAAAATTTTTCAATGAAATTACTTGATGTCCAGGAGTAAAGAAGAAGATTTTTAAAGATTGCATTAATTTTGGTGGTTTTAGCCCCACCCCTCAGGCCCCAGGGGGGCAGGGAACATGAAATTCACAATTTTTGTTCCCTTTTATCCATAAATGCTATATGCCAAATTTGGTTGAAATTGGTTGAGCGGTTTCAGAGAAGAAGCTAAAAATGTTCAAATGTTAACGCACATCGCACGACGACGGACAAAAACGGATAGCAATAGGTCACCTGAGTGAGTCAGGTGACCTAAAATTCAATATATTTTCAAAATACACTGAACAAGAAAAATTAAACTTAACTTATACGCTTCCATAGGGTAGATTCTAAATCGTTCAAATGAGTCCCAGGGCTTGGTGGGAATCTAAATCGTTCAAACGAGTCCCAGGGCTTGGTGGGAATCACAGTTCACCAGGGGAATTGATTGTTTCTCTCAGGAAGCATTGTACAAGGTAAGACGAAATTATAATGTAAACTTCCTGATATAAAGAAGATTCTTAATTTTGCATCACAGCCTCTGGTGATATGCTAACATTGTTGAGTGAAGTTCCTTTTAAATATTTATCATAACTTACATTAGTGTTAACTCGTCCATTTAATGTGCTTCCATAGTAGTTTCACAGTCTGTGACTTAAGAGTCATTCTAAGGGATTTCTTGGATATGTCTACTTTGGAAGTTTCTTTGCTTCAATTTAATCACGAAATGTTGATTTCTTTATAGCTTGAATTGGATTCTATATAGCTTGAACTAGATTACGAGATGAAATGCATATCTTTTCTTCGTGGCCTTATTCATTCGTTGTGTAAAAGCTATTTTGCGTTAGTCTTTGCTTCACACAGTCCAGTATTATTTCTTAGAACAATATTAGTTATAGTACTGTTCTCCTGAAGTTAAATTTTTTAAAAGTATTTCTTGAATTCCTCAGATATATGCAGCTTTGTATTAGAGTCTGATCTAGTTTAGAAGAGAATTGTCAAGTTTCATCAACATATCTTAAATGTTTACAGACAAGCGACTGGTTATGACGAAAATTGCTTGAAACTGGATGATAAAGAGTTCCACTGGGATCAAGGGTCTTCGGAGACTGTGATAAGTTAATGCGTATGTTCTTCCAAAAGATGAATTGTCAAAATGAGAGCAAGATAGAGATGTCAGAATGCTTACACACGACACAAAACGAAAACTGTAGAACAGGAAAACTAATCTCTGAAATCTTTGCAATTCAAACAAAACAAGAGGCCCATGGGCCACATTGCTCACCTGAGTACATTGGCTAGGCAAAACCACAAATCAGTTCAGTATTGAAAAGGTTACCGGGGGGGGGGGGGGGCTGATGATGCTTTCATGTCAATATAACAAATGGCTTTGTTGTACTTGAGTAAATTTTGAAAAAATTTCCCCATATAATCCTTTGTAAAAATTTGATCCCCCATTGTGGCTCCTCCCTATCCCAGAGGTCAATATTTGAACAAACTTGAATCTACACTACCTGAGGATGCTTCCATATCAATATGACTAAACATAGCTTTTCTGTTCTTGAGAAGAAATATTTTTTCTGCATGTTCTTATGTAAAACTTTCGATCCCCGATTGGGCCCCACCCTACCCCCGGGGTCATCATTTGAACGAATTTGATTTACACTATCTGAGGATGCTTCCATATCAAAATGACTAAACATGATTTTCAGTTCTTGAGAAGAGGATATTTTCCTATTTGTTCCTATGTAAAATTTTCGACACCCTAATGTGGCCCATCCCTATCCCCGGGGGTCATCATTTTAACAAACTTGAATCTACACTACCTGAGGATGCTTCCATATCAAAATGACTAATCATGGCTTTGCAGTTCTTGAGAAGAGGATATTTTCCTATTTGTTCCTATGTAAAATTTTCGACACCCCATTGTGGCCCATCCCTATCCCCGGGGGTCATCATTTTAACAAACTTGAATCTACACTACCTGAGGATGCTTCCATATCAAAATGACTAATCATGGCTTTGCAGTTCTTCATCAGAAAGATATTTTCCTATATATTTCTATTTAAGACTTTGATCCTCCATTGTGGCCCCACCCTACCCCAGGGGGTCATGATTTGAACAATCTTGAATTTATACTACCTGAGGATACTTCCACATAAATATGAACAATCAGGGCTTTGCTGTTCCTGAGAAGAAGATATTAAATATTTTTCCTATATATTTTTATGTAAAACTTTGATCCTCAATTGTGGCCCCGCCCTACCCCCAGAGGTCATGATTTGAACAAATTTGAATTTTTACTACCTGAGGATGCTTCCATATAAATATTACCAATCAGGGCTTTGCTGTTCTTGAGAAGAAGATTTTTTAAAGATTTTTCCTATATATTTCTATGTAAAACTCTGATCCTCCATTGTGGCCCCGCCCTACCCTCGGGGGTCATGATTTGAAAAAACTTGAATCTTCACTACTTGAGGATGCTTCCATATAAATATGACTCATCATGGCTTTGCTGTTCTTGAGAAGAAGATTTTTAAAGGTTTTTCCTATATATTTCTATGTAAAACTTTGATCCTCCATTGTGGCCCCGCCCTACCCCCAGGGGTCATGATTTGAACAAATTTGAATCTACACTACCTGAGGATGCTTTCATATAAATATGACCAATCAGGGCTTTGCTGTTCTTGAGAAGAAGATTTTTTTTTTATCAAGATTTTTCCTATATATTTCTATGTAAAACTTTGATCCTCCATTGTGGCCCCGCCCTACCCTCAGGGGTCATGATTTGAACAAACTTGAATCTACACTACCTGAGCATGCTTCCATATAAATATGATTCATCATGGCTTTGTTGTTCTTGAGAAGAAGATTTTTAAAGGTTTTTCCTATATATTTCTATGTAAAACTTTGATCCTCCATTGTGGCCCCACCCTACCCCCGGGGGTCATGATTTGAACAAACTTGAATCTACACTACCTTAGGATGCTTCCACATGAGTTTCATCTTCCCTGGCTTTGTGGTTCTTGACAAGAAGATTTTTAAAAGATGCTATTAATTTTTCACTAATTCTTTATTATCTCCCCTTGAAAGAGGGCATGGCCCTTCATTTGAACAAACCTGAATCCCCTTCACCCAAGGATACTTTGTGGCAAGTTTGGTTGAAATTGGCCCAGTGGTTCTTGAGAAGAAGATGAAAATGTGAAAAGTTTACGACAACAACGACGCCGACGACGACGACAGACAACGGACAAATTTTGATCAGAAAAGCTCACTTGAGCCTTTGGCTCAGGTGAGCTAATAAAAAAGCAGAATTCGAAACTTCAAAATTGCATCTTGATAGTTTACTGTAGCCTAAACAGCGCTTTTAGTGGGCATTACATTTTATATGTTTATTACATTTACATTTTTAGTGTATTATGTTAGATATCAATGATACGTCTCCAGTTTTGAAGCTTTACCAACTTTTACTCTGTATTATGCAGAAATTCCTTATTAAAGTAATGTACTTTTTTTTTACCCACACCAGCAATATTGATGTCAATAAATCTAAAACAAACTCTGTTTTTTGGCTTTTTTAATATAATAATCATATATCCAGGGCATATTTTTTCGATAAATATATGTACATTTAAATAATGTATAAGGATTCAGTCTGTGATAACGCCTAGATGTTTTACTAGGTATATCTTGTTGTTCACTGTATGGCACAACTGGATCTTACTGTTCAAGCTGTTTTTACAATGGAGACTATTTTCTCAGCCATTGGACTTGCTGAAGGTGGATTCTGTCCGGTAACAATTCGTCCACTTGTCTGAAAATTAACCAAGTCGACGAATGAAATACAAATCCAGGAATCAAAGGAAATGTACATGGACCATATCACATCAGTAAACGTGATTCTTTCCAGTACAATTAAATGACTATTACAGACATATTAGTTTTAGGATTTTAGTCTATTTTTGTTTTTGTAAAACTTATGAAAAATTATAACTTCCCTTTACTTACAAATTCAATACTTTGAGCACCAAGGATTTTAAACCAATCAAACAACTTTAATTTCTTTAGAGGTCTTATATTTTAAGACCATTCGCATTACTTCACTAAAAACTTCTGTGACTTGACAAATTCTTATTACAATACCTGCACGTTAACTTGAAAATTCTCAGCGCCCACAAAATTGGCCCCCAGCTCTCTGAGTTTCGTTTCGAGAAGAAATGGCATCGCATCTGTGAGTTTCACAAATTCTTCTTCCGCATTTGTGAATGAAGTTACGGTCTGGCCCTTGACAATGCTATCTCCATTTGATAATTTCACCGGCACTAAACCTTCAATAATATTTTACAGATATAAAATCTATGAATTGAGTTATTTTAAAATATTGCTTTAATACCAGCACTTTCCTGTTTGACTCTAATGCCGCTTTAATAACGGCACTTGTCTTTTTTACCCTAAAGAGATGTCAATTTTAAAAGTTCCATCTTTTCAGTTTACCTGCACTGTAAGCTAAAGTGAGCTCTTCTGAACATCCGTTGTCTCGAGTCTGTCAAGGTATACGTGTGTCTGTCTGTTTACCTGTACGTCTGCAAACGTTACACCATTTTGTGACTTAATTCTCAATCACTTGGCTAATTTTAAATTGAAATCGAAACAAAGCACCCTCAGGTTAAAGGAATTAAAAATTCTTCAAATTTGTAACTGTGGTATCTTACAAAAGCCATAGTGCCAAGCAATATATGTTCAAAATATCAAATCGATATCCCTTTAGTTATAGTTTTTGAGAGATATAGTTTGACAGGCGCCTGGTAAAGTGATCCCTAAGTGTCGCTCTTCTCTGCAGGCGACACAAAAAGTGGTTTCAAGACATAGGAGAGAGCAAGGTCAGAAAATTTCGACATATGTGAACAATCCCTAATAATATGTTTAAAATTTTATGAAATATTAATAACTTTTATAAATTGTTCTAAAAATAGAATAAGTATAAGTGAGGTCAAAGGGAAGGTCAAAAATAGAAATAATGAAATAGTTGGATAGCTCATACCAATGTGTTACACTGTATGATTTTGGTTAAATATATATTGAATAGATTTTAAAATCTTGACAAAACACAAAACAGGAAAAAAGGTCAAGTTTACTGGGAGGTCAAGGTCAGAAAATTCTTCAAAGTTGAATAGCTTTTATCAATATGTACTAATGTATCCCCAATATGAAAATTTCAAAATTTTGAATCGATATTTTAAAACTGAAGTAAACATAAAATAAGGAATAGTACGGTTAAGGTCACATTGAAGGTCAGGGTAAAAAAATTATGCTACCGTTGAATAGCTCCATTAATATGTATTGACAGAGCTGTACCTAAGACCCGGGGAATTTCCCCGCCTATAATGGTATAATCCCCCGGTTATTCAGGTACTCCCTCTCAATGCCCTGTTTAGGGAAGGAACCCCAGACCCCTGTCTAATTTTCAAATTTCCCCTGCTATTTCAATTAGGCACAACCCTGACTGACCAGTTTATGAATTTGGTTAAAATATCTTGAACAGTTTCTTTGAATCTGAGCCAAACATGCAGTGTGATAGACGGGAATACAAGAAGACAACACTATATACCCCGGCCAAATTCAGTCAGGGTATAAAAATGTCACTATTCCTATAAACATGTAGATAAATTGAAGAAGAATAATTTTAATTGCGAGATGGACGTGGATACCATATTCCACGAAGGTATTTAGAAAGTGCGGATACTGAAATGTATTCCAAGATAACCTAGTCTATGATATCTTATTATGGTAAACTTTAAAACGATATTTTATATGCCATCGATATTTCATAGAATGATTCTTACAATGAAAATTACAGAAATAATTATAGTTTGGTTTGATAGTGTTATAAATGTACTTGGGCTTACCCACAGTCCCATGGCAGACGGCACTCACAACAGCGCCCGCTTCATAGGCCTTGGTACATAAATTAGCGATTTCCTTGTTTGTTGGCAAATCAAACATTGGTCCATGGCCACCAGCGTAAAAGATAACCTTATATTTACTAGAAAAAAAAATAAATATCTGGCTAAGAATAAGAATAAGACAATCTATACTTATGAATTATTAAATGTTACAAATATAAAACTCCAAAACGCCTGCACCCGAGTTCATTCTTACTCCACTTTTAATACACTTGGTATGAGATGACGTCCGTAAACTATATTTAGATTTCACTTTCATAATAATTATCGTAAATATAATAAAAAGTCTCCTTTTATTTTTGACAAACAGCCGCAAGAAAGAGAGTAAGGTAGTGGTTACATGGGGGGGGGGGGGTCTAAGTTACTGACAATTTTTAATGAAACAGGCAACAAAAATGGCTAAATTATTTGATAAAACGTCGTTAGTAAATAATTCAATTAAAACTTGATTTAAATGATGTAGAAGAAATAAGTTGTGATTATTATCAGATTAAAAATAAAATATGCAAATCCCTTTCGTTTATATCCGACCTTAGTCTTGACAGAAATTTCTAAAACGTCAGATGGCATCAAACCCGATGTGCAAAAGTAAAACGAGGCGATTAAATATCAAAACATATATAATATATTTTTAAAAAATAATGTAAATGGGCAGGGGTATCATGGTAAAGGAATTAATTCGATAACACTTTGAGCCATGAATGTACATGTATTTATCCTTATATCGAAAGACTCTTAGTAAGTTGTGCTAATAAATTTAGCAGTAGAATTTGCATATTCGACACTAAAAGCATCATGACAACGAAGCCAGAACGCAATGTGGCTATAAAGCTATAGTAATAAACTTGCTATAAAAAATGTCAATGAATGTGGTATTGTTCAAATATAGAATAAACGTGATGCATTTTCAGTTTTCCTAATTTACTAAAGTTGGTAAAAATAAATTTGTGATATAATCAATACATTTCAGAGGCTTTTCTACATAGTCTTTTTGTATTAAATGTTAGGCAAGGGGTTAAAAGCTAATTTTTACTTTAAAAATGTGCTGACAATTCCAGTAAAATGTACAAATTTGCTTTTTAAAATCTTTGATTGAAATGGAGTCGGAGCACCCAAAGTATATGTATGAACAGTACAACAGGTGTCAAAATACAAAGATGCTGAGATGTAAAAAGAAAACGTCAATGAATGACTTTTATTAATAATTTTGGTAAAAAAAATTGAGGTTAATTAATTTGTCTGACAAAATTGCTGATTTGCTGGTATTGCCGATGGTAATGTACGGAGAATAGCAGAAAGTTAAAACAAACCTACAGAAACAAAATTTTATTATTTATTCTCTTTTGAATTCCTTGGATTATTCAACAATTTTCTCAAAAGTTTTTTTTATTATTATTATATAATTTTAGATTGTTATGGGTCGCCCGCGTGGCGCAGTGGTTAGAGCGTCTGCGCTAGAGTCGCGGAGTAAGGAGTTGATCCTTACGTCGCGGGTTCGAATCCCACTGTGGGACGTGGAGACCGGTCCTTTGGATGAGACCGTATAAACCGGGTCCCGTGTCGCAGTAGGTGCTGGCACGAAAAAGATCCCTCACTGCTCAATGGCCATAAGTGCCGAGTATAGGACAAAATTTGCAGCTCTCCACCGGCAAGTGGTGGAGTCTCCATATGAGTGAAAAATTCTCGAGAGGGACGTTAAACAACATACAAACAAATAAATTGTTATGGTGCATTTAGGATTTTGACGTAATATTTGAAGTACTAACAGAATTTTTTCTCCGATGTGTTACCTAATGAAAATATGGCAGGTGATTTGACCAAGTAGCGCACTTTCATAAAATTATTTTTAGTGTTGAGAAAACACCAACTAAGACCCAAAATATGCCTGATGAAACATGTAGTAAACTTGAAACATTTATACTATACATCTTCTTTTATCAAATTATGTGTAGTGTTCGGGAAAACACCATTGAATTTATGGGATAAGTTAACACAAACTGTGCATCAAACACAAAGATTAAGACATGAGTTTTATATAAAAAAAAAAGGACAGATGTGAACTTTTAAGGGATTAGGGTCTACAAGTACCTGTTAGAAAAATCGCTCCAGAACAGTGTTAATGTGAAAAAAAACGACAGATATCAAACAATCACCTCCAATACTCTAACCAAAATTATGGAAAGCCGTAGGGTACCCCCACATTATTATTATTTTTTCCTATATAATTATACCAAAAATAATTATCTCTTCCAAAAATAAAAATCTTGCTTTTTTTGACATTATTATTTTTCCTGCAACAATTATAATCTTGTCTGTCTCAGCATGAATCATTCAGTCAATGGTCATACGAATAAAGGGATTAGTTAGTTTGAATTAGAAGGGCATGCAGATATTTTATCCAGTTAATATGTGAACACAGCACATGCATGTATTGTAAATAAATCCCTAATGTAAATACTACTCAGTTACTGATTCGTTGACACTCGTATGAAAATGCGACAAAAGATCGAAGACAAATTCTATCACATGCTTTTATTTGATCCAAACTTGAAAGATGTCGCTGTCATACATGTTCTTTCAAATTAAGAGATATTAACATGATGTGCTAAATGTAATGTTGGGGAATTTCTACTATACATAGACCAAAAGTTTGCATAATTAGAAAAAGGTAGTGTCTCTTGTAATTGGCTATTGGAAGTCAACAATGAAAATGACCACAGTACTGCTAGAAGCTTAGATATATATATTTGTGGCATATTGGAAAATATAAGAAAATCAGTTTTTACTCATGATACACTCGTAACTCATACTAACGTTTTGGAGTTATTTAATATCACGCTTTTTATCTACATGTAGTTTCTCATAATATTACAGATCTGCCCGTAATAGAAGAACGGAACTATATACTATCTATAGCTTGCAATCAGTAGCAGGCAAGTTTATCTTGCCAAAATATTTATTCTTGAAGAAAAGGTATACATGTAATTACATAGCCTATATTTAAACTAAATACTGCATTATCTTAAAAGTTTGTTTTTTAATGTCATTTTATAATTTAATTCGATACAAGAACCAGTCTGCTACGCGTAATGTGCAATGTTTAATAATTTTAAAGTTTTGGCTTTAAAAATGAATGCAATTAGAACAAGAGGCCCATGGGCCACATCGCTCACCTTAGCACTTTGACCAGGCAAAAGCAGAAATCAGCTTAGTATTGAAAAGTTTAATATATATGGTCCCATCCTAAACAGGGGAGGGCATGATTTGAATAAACTTAAATTTACACTAACTTATTAAACTTCAATATTTCCTTGACAATAATTTGTTTAATTTTAAAAGATATTTAAAGATTATATTCCTATAAGTTTTATCTTTAAATGTCCCCCCCCCCCGGGGTTGGGGGGTTGGGTGGTTGTTGATTGATGACTGATTTGAACAATCTTGAATCTACACTATCCGAGGATGCTTCTGTATTAATATGATTTATCATGGCTTTGCTGTTCTCGAGAAAATGATTTTTATGATCTTTCCTATATATTTCTATATATGTAAAACTTTGATTCCCCATTGTGGCCCCATACCCAACCTCTGGGATCAAGATTTGAACAAACTTGAATTAACATTACCTGACGATGTTCAATATTAATATGAATAATCATACAATGTAGCTTTGCTGTTCTTGAGAAGAAGAATTTTAAAGATTGCTCCTAGGTATTCCTATTTAAAACTTTGATGTCCATTGTGCCCCACCCTACCCTCGAGGGTCATGATTTTAACAGATGTGAATTTACACTACCTGAAAATGTTCCCATATAAATATGACCAATCATAGCTTTGCTGTTCTTGATAAGAAGAATTTCAAAGATTTTTCATTTGTATTCCTATATGAAACTGGTCATCCATTGTGGTCCCACCCTACCCCCATGGGGTCACGTTTTGTACAAACTTGAATCTACACTACCTGAGGATGCTTCCATATAAATATGACCAATCCTGGCTTTGCTGTTCTTGAGAAGAAGATTTTGAAAGATGTTTCCTATGTATTCCTCTGTAAAACTTTGATCGTCCATTGTGGCCCCACCCAACTCCCGGGGGTCATGATTTGAAGAAATTTAAATCTACACTACCTTAGGATGCTTCCACATAAGTTATATATTTTCTGACCCACTTGTTTTTAAGAAGATTTTTAAACAATGCCATTAAATTTTCACTTATTCGTAATTATCTCCACTTGGAAGAAGGCGATGCCCTTCATTTGAACAAACTTGAATTCCCTTTAGCCAAGGATACTTTTTGCAAGTTTGTTTGAAATAGGCCTAGTGGTTCTGTAGGAGAAGATGAAATTGTAAGAAGTTAACGACGACAGACAACTTTTGATCAGTAAAGCTCACTTGAGCATTTGGCTCAGGTGAGCTAATGATTGCACTTTTTTGTTTCAAGTTACCTAATGTCCACCTGAGCGGGTGTCATGGTTGTTTTTAATTTTTCAGCTCCGGATTTGAGAAAAGCTTGGCACACAGGATCGTCTTTAAACGCCTCTGCACTCCCTGGATCCTTTGGAATGAAATAGGAATCCAAAATCACTATTTGTTTACATATACATGTCCATAATACGCAAATGTTAAAAATGCCTCTTAGGAGAAAATCAATTTTAAAGGATAATATGAGGTTTATATTTGAACAAACTATTCAATAAATTTTATTTTATTAAAGAGATATTATTGAGTTTTACCATGGGTGCTTGTCCGCCTCTTGGACTGACGAAATCAACTTCAAATCCAGCCTTGATGAAGATGTCATATGGATGCGCAACTTCAGGAAGGTACCAACCTGTTTTCTTCCCGGTGTTTCCGAGGTCGGCATGATTGGTAACTACTGTTAGAACCCGAACTTTTGCTGCCATAATTACAGATTGCCAATCGCGCTCTGCAAATAAGAATATCTGTGGAGTACATGTATTTTGCTGTTTTGAGGACCGATGATACAAAAAAAAATTTTGAATACATTGAATGGTATATATTTTTTAACCTCTTTTGATTGTTATTAATGCAAATAGTGAGTTTCTAAAAAAAATTAAGAAATTCTTAACTTTGTATGATGTTCAAAATCCTACCTTTCTGCAATCACCCTTATAAACCTATGAATTTTTTTTTCACTTTATAGGCCCATATTTTGTAAAACTTTAAATAAAAAATTTAAAAAACATATGGGGTTAAACTTATTTACTTTACTTATTTACTAATTGACATAACTTTAGTTGTTTTCGTTTGTTTATTGTTTAACGTCCCTCTCGAGTATTTTTCTCTCATATGGAGACGCCACCACTTGCCGCTGGAGAGCTACAAATTTTGACTTATACTCGGCACTCAGGGCCATTGAGTAGCGAGGGATCTTTTTCGTGCCAGCGCCCACTGCGACACGGGACCTCGGTTTATACGGTCTCATCCAAAGGACCGGTCTCCAGTGTCCCGCAGTGGGATTCGAACCCGCGACGTAAGGATCAACTCCTTACTCCGTGACTCTGGAGCGAACACTCTAACCACTGCGCCAAGCGGGCGACACTTAATATATTAACCGTCCTTGACATATTCACGATTTCGATGTTCTGGACACTTTTAAGATACATGTAATTTGTAACGAAGAGTAAATATAATTTTAAAAACTTAAGAATTCAATTCATAATACGATGAGCTGGGCAGTAGCTGTATGAAAGATTGGCGATGGTAAAAATATCGTGTTGTTGGCTAGAAGTGCATGCATGTAGATATAGCTAGGGTATTGCATGCGCTTACCAATGAAGCATGTTAAATAGGAGTTTCCACTTAAGAACTAAGAATACAACAATTTGTTTATACCACATCCAGCATAATGTATTCATTTTTAATACCGTTCTTCTGAATAAAAAATAATTCTAGTCTAAGACATACATTTAAAGTGATCCTTATAGATGTACCGACCTCGTAACATTCACTGAATTAAATCAACAAATCGTACATAAAGTTCATTTTCAACTATTCGAAACAATGTACAGGTTTAATCATACAAGTTATGCTCTAATAAACTCCTAAGCAGCGACAAACTATCGTGCATTTTTCTAGACACCGGCGAAAGAAGCATAACCATCTTACCTGTTATAAATTTGTAAGCTTTTATGATTCCTTCAGATAAAGACTGGTTATGATTATCCTTTGGATGTCCCTGATTACTACGGCGAAGCTTTATGGCCTTATCAGTTTTTCTTTTGCTTAATCACGGTGTCTGGATTTAAATCACCCACCCATGAGTTCCATTCCATTGATTGTCCCAGATTTTAACATGCAATGTTTACACCTTATCAAGCTTTGTTTACAAGCACTTCTAGATTTATTTTATGAAAAAAGTCGGCTCTTCCTCATTTAATTCCAACCTCTTTTAATTCTTTGATAAGATAACACTATATCAACGCTTTCCGAAAAATGCATTTCTTGTTTCATTTGCTTCCAAAATATTACCTTAAAATTAAAAAAAAAAAAGATTTTATATTGCTTTCATTTCTTGATTATAAACTTTAAGATATCTGAACATTAAAAATTGGTTGAAAAATTAAGTATTGAAGTACATGTAGTAACATTTTTACTTTTGGGCATACCGATTTATATCGGAATTTGATACATGTCAGGCCCGTAGCAACGGTTCAAAATTCAAAAGTGGGGGGGGGGGGCTTCCCAGATAAATCTTACAAGAAAAAAAAAAGAGAGCTAATTTACTGTCCAAATCCAGGAATATGCCAGTGCTCGACCTTACAACATCAAATGGGGTTGGGGGAACCAGCATCTAAAGGAAAATATACTATAACAAAATACTATACTCAGAAAAAGTGCCCCCCTCCCCCCACCGTTCTACGGGCCTGCATGATTTTCTAAAATTGTATTTACCGGGTGGGAGTAAATACAAAATAGTTATAGCGCACTTAGTATATGAAATCGCCTACAATATAGCGCATTTACAAACATCCAAAATTTTTCAAAATTTTATATTTAGTAAATGTAGCTATAAACAAATACAATTTATTCCAGTGCCTGGCAAAAATTGTCATAATTATTTCAATCAAGATCAATGAAATCTACAGAATTTGCATGGAGTATACCGAGAACTATTGAGTGAGCATTAAAAAATTCAGATTTATGTATTTGAACCAACTTAAACCAAATATATGTCGAAGGGGTTATGTTCTTTTGATATCAAAATATACTGTTATATTAAAATCCTTTTGGTTTAACTTGGTCTACATATTAAAAATTGATTATAAAGCCTTCTTTATAAAGTTTTCTTATTTTCATAAAAAGACTATAACTCGGGTCCATGTATACAAAAAAGACACGTCGTTTGTTTATATTCTGCATAGCCTAGTGGTTTTTGCTGAATTTTTTTTTGTATTTGAGGTCTCCGGTTCAAGCCCTCAAAATTCCATATATTTTCATTTTTGCATTAATGATAGTTATTAGTACATACTTAATTATCTTTCTTAATTACTTATTTTAATCAAATATTTTCCACATGATATACATGTACACATTAAATTTACAGAACCATACACTATTGTTCAAGCCTGTCTGCCTACCATATGTACATATGAATTTAATATATGTTACCTGACTTTATTTAACATTGGATTTTCGACTTTTTTGGAAAGAAGAGACACATAAAAAAAAATGGATTCGTTGACTACGTACATGAGATGCAGCGATATTTCCCAAAACGAATATTGATGTATAGACCTTTCATGATCACAATGTTCTTGAAAACAGTCAAGAAATAATCTTGATACATAATTCTGAAAATTTGAAACAAATAAAAAATATTAATATTATGAAAACATAATTATATTCATATGTGCAGATCGAGAGAATGGTTGTGAAGTTATTAAAGAGAGATATCTCGTATACAGTTTTAAAAGTGTTTCTCGTGAACTAAGAGCCCAAATCATGATAAATCATGTATATGTAGAAGTATTTCCGAATATTTATTTCATAAGTTAATTTCCTGAACCAATGCGACAACTAAATCTATTTATAGTAACAGGTATTTTCCATTTAAACATGGTAGTAGGCGAAATATTGGGAAAGGGCGCTATTCCTCTTTAGAACATGACCAAAAACAATTCAAATTCTAGAACATGACATGTCATTTGCGTTTTAATAACAATCGTTTCGTGAAAAATAAACTGCAAGTTAATGCAAGTACTGACGAGTTCAATTCCTTGAAATTTTCCCAATGTAACTTTATATACCATGTAATTCTTTATCCGAGTAATCTATTGAAATGAAAAAGAAAGATTACAAACTAATATTTGAAAGATATGAATGAAAGCATAGTTTCAAGTAGGAACAAAATGTGTTCAACAATGATGAATGTTAAAACAATGATGCCTCCGTATGTCAATTTATGGCTACTTATAAAGTTAAAGTTTTTCAAATGCAAGTCAAACTTCAAGGTCAAAAGATAAAAAAAAATATTCAAAAGTTCAAGTAACTAGAATTTCTGACGAGATTGTAGCTCTACTCAATTGTACATACAACAAAGGAAGAGAAAAGTAGCACTTGGACTTGAAACTTTGCAACAGCAATAAATAGAATAATGATCCTTGGTTTAGTCTCTTTTTGTGGCAAGATTTATTGTTATCAGGTAAAAACTGTACGAGGACTAGCCCTTTGAAAGAAAATTACAAAAAATACCAATTTTATTTTTAATCATGCCAACACCGTTCATCAAAATTACAAAATAAATAAATAAATAAATAAAAACATACAGAGATTTATGTATCTCAGTGTAGTGTCCTTCCATACAAAGTTATATAATAACTACATGTACATGGAGAGTGTTCCAAATAACGCATGCGTCGCCTGCTTTGTAGCTTCATTAAAGATGTAAATAAATCTAAGAATGGTCAGCTTTTTATTTACTATTACATATGTAGCATGATAGTTCAACCATTTGCCTGCAAAGAAAAATGACATCCATGGATTGGATAAGACTGCACTTGTCAGTCTACACATGGCCGTTGGAACCGGGGGGGGGGGGGCACGCCTCCCAATAATTTTGCCGATATATAGATGACTATAGAAAATTTAGCTACTTCTTGCTTGTCCCCCCTCAATAAAAACGTCTTATGACCTTTTTTCTTTTTTTTTTTTTTTTGCTTGTCAAGGAATTTTTGGTAGTTGATAGTGCCCCCAACTGACTGAAAATGTATGGCTGTGCCCCCCCCCCCCAAAAAAAAACTGAAATTGCAATTGCTTCCTACGGGCCTGCTACATGTACATAATCCATTGTGGAATACCGATCCGGATGTATTTTCACAGTACTTAAATATAAGTTTGTTTGATAACTGAATGGCATACAGTTCAAAGTACAGTAATCATGATCTAATAAACATGTATAAATGCTAATAATCAAAATCCTGCCTCTCAAAATTCAAAAGTCATAAGCAATATTAAACTACCCGGGGTATTTTTTGCAAAGTAGGTCAAAGGTCAAGGAAAGTGGATTAAAATGGTATTTTTCGTATTGTCTTATGACAAACAGGGCACACGCTAAATAGCACAGAGTTACCTCTTTAATGTCAAAAATATGTTATATATCGACACTATGAACTATTTTGAAAAGTAGGTCAAAGGTCGAGGGGTCGTTATCATGGTAATCAACAAAAGCCATAGTACCAAGCAATATATGCGCAAAATATCAAATCCATACCTCTTACAGTTCTCGAGATATAGGGTGTGACAGACAGACAGAAGCCGGGTAAAGTGATCCTTAAGTGCAGGTCTGCTCTGCAGGCGACACAAAAATCAAAATAAAACTCTAAGAGAAGTAGCATTTTGATTGATTGTATGTTGTTTTATGTCCCCTTTGAGAATTTTTTCACGTATAGAGACGTCACCATATACCGGTGAAGGGCTTCAAATTTAGACCTTTACTCGGCACTCAGTCATTGAGCAGTGAGGGTTCTTTATCGTGCCAACGGCTACCGTGACACGGGACCTCGGTTTTTAAGGTGTTATCCGAAGATAACAAAAATCCGCAACTTTCAGTCCAAAGTGCCGAACACTTGGCGAAGGAACAGTTGCTAAATGTACCTATCTTTTTTTATCGACTTAGGTCAGTCGCGGCCGTGATTCGAACACACGACCTTCCGACCACGGAGCGAGCCTCTACTGACTGAGGGTGACCCGTATTGGTGGAGAAGGGGATACTGGTGGCTGACGTCTGCAGGTGCTGGGTGTAACGCACCTGACCTCACCAACAATCCACTTTGGCCCCGTATTCATCTAGACGGGAGGTCAAGTTTGGCCCGACTTGATCAATCGGCTGGTCATGCCGAGCTGATAATATCTGCATACCTAAGTATTGATGTTTTGCATTTTTTATAATATTATTTTATATCTACTTCGTTTTGCAGTTTTCCAATACGCCAACGTTTCCATGTCTGATTATAGTTTCTTTGTATCTTCTTGCTATCAGTCTTACATGAAGTCCGTTCGACTATATATCGTCCTAGTTGGCGCTCAGAGGCGGGCGGGGAGCAAACACTGAAATTTTTCATTTAACCATGGCTCTTTAAAAAAGAGTTGTTACCATTCAGGTTTCGAAATCAATTCTGTTGTGGAACACTGGAACCGCTTCATCACACTTGAAGCACAGATATCAGATCAACATACAAAGCCTTTGACAAAAGTATCGCCTTTTGTAATACGAAAGGTATAAAAGAAATTATCGGTACACCGAAGTCGGTTTAAAAATTGAAATCAGCTGCTCTTCTAATTGAAGTAGCCAAAAAAAAAAAAAAAAACAGCATTCAACTTCCTTGTGCATTAAAAAAAAACTTGCAGATATACCTGTGCTTGCAAAAGTTCACAGTGGACTTAACCAAAGTAAAGGCATTCTATTTGACAGAGATCACGACCTGGATGACATTCCTGAAATGGAAATCCAAAATGAACTGGAGTCGAAGGGTGTGGTCTCTGTGAAACGGTTCACCAAAAAACGTAACGATAACATAGAACCTACAGTTACTTACCTTCTTACCTTTGAAATGCCAACCCTTCCAACGAACATCAAAGTTGGGCTGTACCAAATGAAAATTGAATTATACCAAAACTGTGTTTCAAATGCCAGCAATTTGGGCATGGACAAAACAATAATTTGTAAACGCACAGAAAC